GCTTTGCCCTGTCCTGCTCTGCACTGTTCTGTTCCTAAGGGAAATCCATGAATTCATCAAGTGTGTGCTCATGTGGCTTGTTTGTGAGATAAGCTATATTTGTTATGGTTAACCTCAAAGCTCCCTAATAGGAGAAGTTCGTTTAGGTTGTAATCTATTCTTTTTCACTCTTTGTGTCCTGAATATGCTGCAACAATGTTATGGAAAATTCACTCATATTTTTTTTTTAATACTGCGATAACTGTAAACTGAGGTATCTTTAAAGGGTTCATATATAGGCCTACTTTCCAACATAGAATTAACCATAAACACGCACATGAAACTTAACAACAACAAAATATACATTTAATTATTGGACATTCATCACCACAAAGACAGAGTTTTTGGAGGATTTCTGGTGCCTCTGGTGATTTTTATATTTAACAGAATTAAAAATAATTCACCCTTTATCAACAAGCATTTTTATACCAAAAGAAAAACATTTCTGTGATACTTTAATGCATTTTATTGTATTGTGATACACTGTGTTTCCACTATAACAATCTTGTCAATGTAAATTTATTCAGCAGCCCCACAGGGCCTCTTAGAGTACAGGATAACATACCTAATATAGTCTGTATTATATATATTACATATAGCCCATACCCCTCTTTTCCTCTAAGTCCATTAGATTTAGTCAGAATCCCTTTGCTGCTTAGAGCTGTTAAGCCGCTCATCAGGGGGAATTCTGCCGTGAGGATATGCAACAAGGCTGTAACTTCTACTCTCCCACTTATCTCTTGGCTGTCCTGCTGCATAGCTCACATTCACTTATGTCAGTTTTTGTAAAGACAGCACTTCAGGCTGGGATATTTCCAAAATTATATATGGCAGCATTTGCAATTACTGTACCAGCACAGGTGGATCAAGGACCGTGAAAGATGTCTTCCAACACTCCCACTTGAGGGCGTTATTTTAACACTTTCTGTAACCCTCCTTATTTAAGTATTAAATAAGATGATCTTCTTTGCAGAACTACATTCACAGACTCAAAGTGAATGATGGTGTTTTTGCCATACTTACAGACATCTTTTAAAGCCAACCAATGAGACTCTTCGCTGACTCGGTTGCTGGCCTTGCACACAATACTGCTGTTCTCTACAGTGACAAC